CTGACCCATATTAGCTATATGTGCATGTAATGATTCCTTGTTTTAGAGAGTGTGTCTTTAAATGTTTGTTAGGAGTGCAGTGATAGCAGAGTAGAATGACTGAGGGAGACAAGTGTGCTGTGATTGGTGGATGACAGAGTGTGGGAGGAATTGTTGGGAGTGAATGGGTGTGTGTCAAATAAGTCAGTTATGAAAGTCAGTTAGAGAAAGCAGTTGGAGTTTTGAGTTTGAGTCAGAGTCAGTGAGAGTTATTCAGTTAGTAGATCTGTCAGTGAGTGATGACAGAGTGCTGTGTGGAAACTTAAAGTGTTCAGAATATATGCCTATTGAAAAAGAGATTCTTGTTAGAGAAGGATCTTGTGATCAAAAGACTGTGTATGATACCCTGCCAGTTTATTTTTCCAGTTTCTCTTCCCCATAATAGTTGCAGTTAACCAGCAACTCATTTTTGTTCCAAAATTCAATAAATCATATTTTGTTTGAGTTTAACCCAGAATTCAGTTTAATCCTTCCTCAGGGCCACAGAGACCCCTGAAAAGCCCAGACTTTACCAACAGCTAATGAGAGAAGATTTGGAATTTGTTTAAATTCCTGGTGGCAGCAGAAACTACCCTGTTTGTGAACACAAAGTATAATTTAAAGTGAAAACCAGTCCTCCCCAAATAAGAGGACGCCACAGTGCACTTTCGTACATGATAAATAACACCCACTTTCAATGCATTTTCTTGATCGTTTGCACGTGGATTTTGCTGTTTCGCACCGTAAAATCCAGTTGCAAAGTGGATTGAAAGTGTGCTATTCAGTGCGAGTAACATGATTTTTACCACAGAGCCAACAGCAACTCCATGGGAATTGAGGGAATTGAGAATGGGAAGACAGAGTGGGACATTATGCGAAATGAGGGAAATGCAAATATGTAAGGTATGGAGATGGCAGAACTTAAGCTGTGGGTGGCGTTTTGCTGGGCGGTGGGTGTAGCAATCACGTCCAAGATCTAGGAGGGTGTCCCTGGTTCATATTACACCGAAGGATCTTCTCTAGCTCCTTCACAACTACCCTTCCCAGTCTCCATCTCCCACCGACGAGAGTCGCCCTGAAAACACCAGAGACTGCCTGGAAGAAGCAACAACAAGGCTCACTACCTGGGTGCCGGTAGGCAGCCCCGCCCCTGTATCATGTGGCCCAAGTTAGGGATCAAAGTATTCTTAGAACTCAATATATGTAAACCGCCCAGAGACCCTCCGGGGTTAGGGCGGTATAGCAAGTCGAAGTATAAATAAAATAAAATAAAAAATTTCTTCTTTGCAGTCTCCCTTTTGGTTGCTGGTTGGAACCAAGGAATAGAAAGTCTTGAACAATTTCAGTTTTTTCATTCTCAAACTTGAAGTTGTGTCATTCATCAGCATTCATCATGTTGGTCGTCTTGATGTTCAGCCGTAAATCCTGCTTTGGCACTTTCTGCTTTACCCTCCTCAGTAGTCATTTCAGGTCTTTGCTGTTTTCTGCTAGTAATGTTGTGTCCAGTGTTCCCTCTAAACTGTGTTAGTGTGAGCGAGCTCACAGTTTTTTAGCCTACTCACACATTTTTGTCTTAGCTCAGGAAGGATGGCTCCAGAGCAAACTAATTTTCTGCTAGTCATGCCGTGTGTCATCGGTATGTCTCAGATTTGTCAATGTTCCTTCTACCAATTTTCACTCCACCTTCATCTAAATCTAATCCAGCTTTCCTTATGAAATCTTCTGCAGGTAAAATACATCCTTTCTGGACACCTTTGCCAATTGGAAACCATTATTTCCCTCCATATTCTGTCCTAACAGTAGCCTCTTGTCCGGATTACTGGTTGTACATTGAAACAATCAGATGTGGCTCACCCATTTCTTTTAAAAACCAACCCCAGCCTTTCATGATATTAGTCTGGGGTCCCACAATATGGCTGGAGAGCGCAGAAGGTAAAGTTCTGGTTTGTGCCAGAACTGGGGCAGTCCTACAAGGAACCTTCCCATCTTGGCTGCCCATTGTGGACAAAAGGCAGGATATAAATATAGTAAATAAAATGAATAATGGGGAAAAGTTTGAGTCCAGTGGACACCTTTAAGACCAACAAAGTTTAATTCTGGGTATAAGGTTTTGTGTGCATGCACACTTCTTCAGATACATTGGAACAGACTTCCTTAGGCATTACGTATAGGTAGAGGGGGGTTAGTTGCCAGGAAGGGCTAATTAGAATCAAAATGCATAAGTAACTGAGTGATAAGCAATAGCTAAGATTGGATCAATGCAGTTGATAAGACCCGTGAATAGCGGCAAATTAGCCTACAGATAATAAAAGAGTTAACAAACAGATATGAGAACTAAGTTTGAGTCCAGTGGCACCTTTAATTTATTTTATTATTTTCATTTATTTAATTTGTACCCTGCCCTCCCCACAAAGCAGGCTCAGGGTTTAAGACTCACAAAGTTTAATTCTGGGAATAAGCGGGAACTGATGACTTAGCATGTGTAGTGAGATAAGAACCTGTTACCTCTGTTAAGCCCTGGGAGTTCCATTGTCCCGAGTGGTGTAATAAATTGTAATCAGGGATCATTTCGTTAAAAAAAAGGTGCAGGAGCTCATTAGCATAACTGATTAGAATCAAAATGCATAAGTAACTGAGTGATAAGCAATAGCTAAGATTGGATCAATGCAGTTGATAAGACCCGTGAATAGCGGCAAATTAGCCTACAGATAATAAAAGAGTTAACAAACAGATATGAGAACTAAGTTTGAGTCCAGTGGCACCTTTAATTTATTTTATTATTTTTATTTATTTAATTTGTACCCTGCCCTCCCCACAAAGCAGGCTCAGGGTTTAAGACTCACAAAGTTTAAGTCTGGGAATAAGCGGGAATTGATGACTTAGCATGTGTAGTAAGATAAGAACCTGATACCTCTGTTAAGCCCTTGGGGGTTCCATTGTCCCGAGTGGTGTAATAAGTTGTAATTCAGCAGTCTCCCATTCCAGTCTGCTTCTGAAATCCCTTTGCAATAAAAACAGCTACGTTGAGGTCCCCCATTGAGTGCCCTGGGAGGCTGAATAATGCTAAGGCTTCTCTACCCTACTGTGCAGTTTTAAGGATTACAGCAAGATAATGCTCACTTTGCATATCTATATGAATGCCAAGTGTTAAGAAAGAACGTGTTTGACTTTTAGTGCAAACTGTATATCTGTTAGCGGAGAATATATGCAGAGTGACTTGCGATGCGTCTGCTCTGTTTCCAGGCCCTAAGCAAGATGCTGAAGCAGCCAAGGAGTTTGTCCTCGAAATGTACATGGATGTCTACCAGCGTTCCTCGATCCCCAGCCACAGTTCCAGTATGCAGATTTCCAAAGATGCTCATGGGCCCAGGATCCTGTACCCTCACTACACCTGCGCTACGGACACACAGAACATCTGCACGGTTTTTGATGACATCAAGGATGTGGTGCTGGCCACCTACCTGGAGGAATTCAATCTGTCCTAAAGGATCAGTGGCGGGACACTTTGCCACGGAAGGGGCCCACGGAAGGGGCTCTTTGCCCACGGCCAGGAGGCATGTGGGGTGCAGGAGGATAAACCGGTGGCGCTCAGCTCCTGTCAAAATGTTTCCAGCACTGCTGTCTTCCCCGATGACCGCTCTCTGTGAGAATTCCACTGGTGGGGTGGACACCTGTGGACAGAGGAACACACCAAGGGCGGAGGTCCCATTAACCCCCGAGCCTGTTTTCTTCGTTGCGGCATTGCTGAGTGCGGCTCTAAAGACCTGTGCAGCTATGTTTCTCTGCCACCATTGGCTTGCTGTGAGATGATAAACTGTGAAATGGCAAACCACATCCTGCGTCACCTGCCGCCTAACCAGTTTTGTGGCTTCTTTGGCTGTTTGTTAAATCCGGCTGCATGCGACGCCACTAGAATGGACTTCAGGCTTCCTGCGTAATTGACGGCTTCCTTTCCCTCTAACTGGACCATCTCTGGACCCATCCCACAATTGGCACCTGAGAAGCTTGGATTCCTACCCAGTAGCCACTTCCTTTGTCAAAGAAAGCTGGGGCAGACAATGCAACGTCCCACTTCAGCAAGCGTAATTATGCAAATGTTTGTCTTACACAGGAGTGTCCAAGTTCTGGGTTAATTCCTTAGGTGTCAGGATGCAAGCCTGCTGCAGTGCTTGAATTGGTGGCCAGAGGAACAATTGGGGGGGGGCAGGGGGGGATTCAGGTTGTGCACCATCTCCCAGCAGTGCTTGAAGAAAGCCTGAGCAAGACCAGCCCAGAGAGAGCCTCCTTGCATCCATCAACTGGAGCACGGCGGCCAAGGATCCCGTTACAGCCGGGGTCCCCAACCTTTTTGAGCCTGCTGGCTTTTTTGGAATTCTAAGACGGGGTAGTGGGAGTCGCCGCAAAATGTTAGAGAGTGAGGCTGTGCATCACTCTGCTAGTAAGCCTTTTAACATTTCAGGCAGAAGCCCCGGCTAACAGGATGCCTTTTCAAACGAACCTAGTGTTGAAAAATGTTTTCTTGCATACACACAAAGTAAATATACGTACCGAGCTGGCTAGAAACCCTCATCTGGCAGTATCTGTCTTCACTTCTCAGCAACCCGACCTGGCTATCCGCTTCACATGAACTGGGCAAAAGCCACACCTGGGCCCTCCCACTTTCCAAAGACACTTGCTGGGTGCCAGGAAAGATGGTGGTGGGCACCGTGGCTCCCACGGGCACCACGCTGGGTACCCCAGCAGTGCACATTTCCTTGGTTGAGATTCCATGCTTGCCTTGGCAGACCGGAAATCCTGCCTTTCCTCAAGGCACACTGTGCCTCCTCCTCCTCACCCCACCCCCAACTGTGCAGGAGCCAAGCCTGGAGGAGATTAAGCACTAAGGAGGCCCTGAACGGCAGGGTGTCTCCCGAACCCTCACGGGGTTGTCAGAACACTGCTTATTCCTAATAAAAGTGGTGCTTTGTCACATGGGTGCATTTTTTTTTTGCAAATGGACTGAACCTGCTACTTCACTCCCCCAGATCACCTTTAAATCTGGCAAAGTTAATGCCCGCCGTGGGGCCCCAATGCTGCCATATACTTTATGGGGGGAAGGGTCCCTGTGATGGATGTGCAGAGGTCCTTACCCTTTCTGCCAGTCACCAACCACCTGCATTCCTGATTGGCAGGGCCGGCCCGTCATAGACAAAATTTAGGCAGTCACCTATGGCGCCGGCTTGACGAGGGCGCCGTTCTGGCCTGCCTGCCGCCTGCCTTCCCCTCTCCTCCTTTAGCATGGCACGAAGTTGAGGTGTGGCAATGAGAAGTCAGCCAGGGCGCACGGCCAGAGCAGCACGGTGAACAGCAAGCGCCTCCCCATGCCAGTGGCTCCTCTGGCCCGGCTGCCGCTTGCCCCCTCGGCCCACCCACTGTGGCTCCAGCACCCACCCCCAGCCCACCCCATGATGGCGGCAGAGCCCACCTCTCCTGCACAAGCCTTTGTCCTTGGCCAGGCGCCGCCTCTGTGATTGGTGCCGCCAGCGGTGCTTGCTCTGCACCTCTTTCCAAACTGTCTTTGGAGGCTGCCCAGACCACAATCTGCACCCAAAGCCGCCCTTCCCCCCCACTCATTCTTTTCTCCTTTATGACACCCCCCCTCCTGTCTTCGTAGAGAGACAGGCATTCCACTTCCCACGCGCTGAAGCTTTCCTCCCTGGCCATGGCAAGCGGCAGCTTGAGCCTTCAGCTCTTATTTGGGGAGGAACCGCTGGTGCCGCCGCTCTAGACAACTTTGGTGGTTTCCCACAGTTTTGGGGGGCACCGCGCCAGAAGGGGGGGCACCAGAAGAAAAACCTGGGGCCAGCCCTGCTGATTGGTGTGTGCAGAGTGGGTAGCAGCCAATCAGAACTCATGAGTAGCTAAGAAACCAGATTGGGGGGGAAGAGCGCTTTCACACACAGGAAATAATGCACTTTCAGTCCACTTTCAATGTACTTTGCAACTGGATTTTAAGAACATAAGAGAAGCCAATGTTGGATCAGGCCAATGGCCTATTGAGTCCAACACTCCGTGACATATTGGCCAGAAATACCAGGTGCCATCAGGAGGTCCATCAGTGGGGCCAGGACATTAGAAGCCCTCCCACTATTGTCCCCCCCCAAGCACCAAGAATACAGAGCATCACTTGCCCCAGACTGAAAGTTCCTATCTATACCTTGTGGCTAATAGCCACTGATGGACCTCTGCTCCATGTTTATCCAATTTCCTCTTGAAGCTGTCCATGCTTGTAGCTGCCGCCACCACCACCAGATCCTGTGGCAGTGAATGCCATGTGTTAATCACTCTTTGAGTGAAGAAGTACTTCCTTTTATCTGTTCTAACCCGACTGCTCAGCAATTTCATTGAGTGCCCACGAGTTCTTGTATGGTGAGAAAGGGAGAAAAGTACCTCTTTCTCTACCTGCCCTATCCCATGCATAACCTTGTAAACCTCGATCATGTCACCCCTCAGCCGTCATTTCTCCAAGCTAAAGAGCCCCAGGCGCGTTAACCTTTCTTCATAGGGAAAGTGTTCCAACTCTTTTATCATTCTAGTTACCCTTTTCTGCATTACTGTGTATGGGTGTGAAAGTTGAACAATGAAGAAAGCTGACAGGAAGGAAGTTAGTTCATTTGAACCGTGGTGCTGGAGGAGACTTTTACAGATAATAAGGACAGCCAAAAACACAAATAAGTGGGTCCAAGATCAAATCAAGTCTGAACTCTCCCTAAAAGCTAAAATGACTAAACTGAGGCTATCACATTATGAAAAGACAAGAGTCACTGGCAAGGACCTCATTTTTGTTACCCAGATGTAGAACTCAGCACTTGTTAAATTGCATCTTGTTCACATCTGCACACTTTTCCAGTGTGTTCAGCTCTTGTTGAATTCTGTCTCTACCTTCTGGTGTGTTCACAGCTGCTCTCAATTTAGGGTCATCTGCAGATTTAATGAGCAGCCCCTCCACACCCTCATCCACATCATTTATAAAAATACTGAAAAGGACTTGTCCCAGAACTGAGCCCTGTGGCACCTCACTGGACACCTCCCTCCATTCAGATGAAACACCATTGACAACGCCTCTCTGCGTGCGGTTCTCAACTTGCAAACGGTCACTGAAGTGGATTGAAACTGCATTATTTAGCCTGTGTGAAAGGACACCTTTCTCACTGGGGCTCCACGCAGATTAGGGTTGCCACCCTCCAAGTGGCGGCTGGAGATCTCCTGGGATTATAACGGCTCACCAGGCAACAGGAATCAGTTCCCCTGGAGGAAACAGCTGCTTTGGAAGGTGGACTCTATGGCCTTATACCCCAATGAAGTCCCTCCCTACCCCAAGCCCCGCCCTGCTCAAGCTCCACCCTCAAACCTGGTATTCCCCAACCAGGTTCATAGCCAGGATATTTTCCTTGGGGGAGGGCATTTAGATTTATAAGGGGGCGGTTGATTAATAGTCACATCCTCTCTGTGCGGAGGGAGGGAGGGAAGGAGGCCCGTAGCCAGGATTTTGTAATTCGGGAGGGGGCATTTAAATAAGTTGGGGGGGGGCACTGACGTCAGTTGGGGAAGCCAGCCATGCTTGGGGAAGGGGTAGCGGCAGCTGGGGGCTAGATGGATGTTGGGGAGGCTTGGCCAGAAGTTGGGGGGTGGGCCCCCAAATGCCCCCACTGTAGCTACAGGCCTGGAGGGAGGGAGGCAGGCAGGCACTGGCTCCATCCAGGAGCAAGAGGCAGGAGGAGGAGGAGGAGAAGGCAGGAAGAGGAGGAGGCAGGAGGAGGAAGGGTCACCCTGGAGAGGAAGAGCCATGAAGGAGCCAAGGAGGAAGCCCAAAAGAGTTTGCGTGAAAAAGTGAGCAGCAGAGTTTTGATGGCAGCCAAGGCAGCCAGAGATTGCTTGCAACGCTTGCTGGCTTTTGCGTTGCAAATAACCATCCTTTTAAAAAGAGACCGCTCCTGTTTTTGGCTTCCCGGCTGGCTTTCTCTCTGTCAGACACCCATACGTACTCACTCCCAACAACCCTATTCAGGTGTAAGATTAGTTTATTGAGATATGCAGTCGATACCGGTGTAAGCCAACCTGTGTCAGAACTGGCGGGCATTGGCACCAAGCCCACTATGATACCCACTTCAAACTACCCCCCCACCCCCCCCATGCCGGGGCCCAATCACACTGGTCATCTACCCCGCCAAGCCGATGCAAGGTCTCCCCCCCACACACACATGCGAACTACAAAGTGTATCCATAACAGCGCTCCTGGCAGCAAAGGCTTCAAGGACACTTAGTCTCCCCTCCTCGGGAGGCCACTTGGGAAATTGTTACAGGCGTCTAGCAAAGCTTGTTCCCACGCATTCCTTCCCCATTCACTCCCCCCCTTCCAGCTCAAAATGAAAGCTTCACAGAGATCAGAAACCAACATGGCAAACAAAGTACAGAGTTTGACACTCTCAGAGCCTGCAAGGGCAGCTCCCTCATGCATGATTGCTCCCCTTCCACGTAAGGAAAGCCCCACCCGCATTGCCACCTCTTTTCTCCCTCTTCCACCTCCAATGCTGCAGGGACCGGCTCAGGAGTGACTGCCCACCAAGCTTCCTCTCCCCCGGCCAGTTTAGGCATTGCCACCTCTTTTCTCCCTCTTCCACCTCCAATGCTGCAGGGACCGGCTCAGGAGTGACTGCCCACCAAGCTTCCTCTCCCCCGGCCAGGCCGACCTGGAGCCCCAACCATGCAAAGGGCCACTAAACAAGCACTTAATAGTCTTTGTCAGACCTCTGGTCAAGTTACTCTCAACAATTTTTATCTTATTTATTTATTTTTCCGGTTTATACCCTGCCCTCCCCACTTAAGCAGGCTCACTCTCGTTGGCAGTGATATGTTTATTGAGTTATAAGCAAGAGCCAGGTCATACCTGTACCGTGTCAGAACTGAAGATTTTGGCGGGTACACTCATGGATATAGGTAATTCAAATGAAACCCCTTCTAATGGCCACTCATACAGCACATCCATCCATCCCACCTAGCCATAGCATTCCCAACCCCCTTTCACCTGGGAAATATATGATCGCATTATCTACACGGAACCAAAAGTATCAAGGACGTTCCTCTGGGAGAGGAAGGCTTCTTTGGAAGTGTTATAGCCCCTAAGATAGCGCAGTCACACACTCCAGATTTGCTCCCCCCACCTAAGGAATTCCCTCCCCCCAGCATTCATGGCAAACTGAGCAGAGCGATGTTTGACACACATCCTCTCTGTGCGGAGGGAGGGAGGGAGGCATGGACTCCATCCAGCAGCAAGAGGTGGTAGGAGAAGGAGGAGAGGTTGCCTTGGAGAGGAAGAGCCTCTGCTGGCTGGCTGCAGACTCACTGTCCTCCATCATCACAAGGGGGGGGGGGTTTCAGCCGTGGAGGTGAGAAAAGGATGAGCTCCCGAGCAGAAGACAGGCACACCAGCTAGCTGGAGAAGGTGGAGTCGAACCAGCTGGCTGGACTGGAGGAAAAGGCACCGCAGGCATTTAGACATTTTTTTAAAAAGTATAACAACTTTAAGGAGCTGCGGTGGCTCAAGTGGTTAAGACGCTGAACTGCAGGCTGTGGAAGGTCAGTAGTTCAGCAGTTCAAGACCCGGGTGCCGCAAGACGGGGTGAGCTCCTGTCTCTAGTTCCAGCTCCTGCCAACCTAGCAGTTCGAAAGCAAGAAATTGCAAGTAGATCAATAGGTACCACTTAAGGCACCGCAGGCATTTAGACATTTTTTTTTAAAGTATAACAACTTTGGGGAGAGTGTTTTACGGGGCATGATAGTTAATTAAGGGGGTGTGGCCCTGAGATGCCCCACCGCGGCTATTGGCCTGTCCCCAACTTGCAACTGGCAACCCTAACACAGATTAGTGAGTTGAGACCATCACAGCCCACAAGCAATGCAAGAGGATCAAGATTCTAGAAATGGGGAACCAGCCAGGAATCTAAAAAAAGAGAACTGCAGCAAACGAGGGCAAGTGTGGAAGAAGTGGCTTCCAGAAATAAGGGAGCAAAGCGTACTCGCTTCCTTCCCATGCCTGTCAATCACCGCTGTGATTTCCCTCATTGTCTTCCACAAGGAAAAGGCAGAAGAGGCCTCTTTCCATGTCACATATTACATTTATGCAATAAAATGTAATCTGTTCCCTCTTGCCTGGGAGAAAGGCAGACTTTTCAATCAATAAATAAATACAATCGGGCAGAAGCCTGACTCTACATTTTGCTGCTATCTGCAAATCCAGACAGTCTGGAGCAAGGGTCTCCAAACTTCTTGAGCCTGCAGGCGCCTTTGGGATTTGGACATGGGGTGGTGGTGGGTGCCCTGCAAATGCGACATGGCCGCCTGCCGAGACGGAGCCAACTACAAAACGGCTGCCTCTGGAGGCAGGACCAACCACGAAGTGTCAGGGAGTGGGGTTACACATAGCTCCCCTAGTTAGTAACTCGTCAAAATTTTGGGCAGAAGTGATGATGAACAGGACGCCTTTTAAGATGAACATATTGTTTATAGTAACTTCTGGCCTACACACTGCTTGTCTTCAGTCACACAGTGAAGATTCCTGTGCTGTTTGGTGGCATCTACTGCTGCCATGTAATTTACCACGGCACAGCCTATGAGGTTGCCAGTGGCCAATGAAGAGCCTCGTGGGCAAAAGCTTCATCTGGCCCCACCCACTTTCTAAGAACATTCTGCAGGCGCCATGCAATGTTCCCTCTAAGCTGTGGAGTCTTGTGAGCAAAAATTCTACTTTGTGAGCTCCTGGCATTAAAGTTGTGAGCAAGCGATTTGGCTACTGCATAAATTAGTTTGCTCTGGAGCCATCCTTCCTGGGCTAAGACAAAAATGTGTGAGCCAGAGGCTAAAAAACTGTGAGCTAGCTCACACTAACTCAGCTTAGAGGGAACACTGGCGCCATGTTGGGGACTCCTGGTCCAAAGGTGTGCATTTTTTAAAAGAAACCTGGGAATGTACGGCTTTTTTTGTTTTGTTTTTGCAGAGATGGCAAAATTAACACGACAGTCATGGAAATAGAAAAATCCAAACATTCAGACATATTGGCTACCGTTTCTCATCTTTTAGAGATTGACTGGTTTGCTTTATTCGATTTCTCCCCCACCCTCCCAGTGGTACAACCTTAGGATTCGCAAAGTGCTTGTACTGCAGAAGAGGATGGGGGTACCCAAGAAAATAACCGCAAATCCCAAAAATTCTTTTACTTCTACCATTTTTGCTACATCAGTTGGGGAAGAAGAGCAGAAGAATGCAAGCCATACATGTTGCTAAGGGAACAGGAAGTTTAGAGAAGAACTGGAGTGAACAGCAGAGACAGTGCTTCTTCTCACAGGTCAGATCCCATGACTTCTTTGATCCAGGGAAGGTAGTTGGCAATTCGGGTATAAACTCCAGGAGGGAAGTGATTGCCAAAGGACACGATTCCTTGCACCACACCATGGCACACCATGGGACCTCCGGAATCACCCTGTGGAAGGACAGAGAACAGGAATGGCACTGGACCTGAAAGATTCTAGTTTTGATTTATCCTTCTCCGTTGGATAAATCATTCCCATGATGAATTATAATAATAATATAATAATAATAATAATATACTTTATTGTCATTGTACATAGTACAACAAAATTAAAGATGCAATCATTTAAAGATGCAATTAAAGATGCAATTATGCACCTTTTCTTCTCACCAGACTGGATCCATACAATGTACACCTTTTACAATACAATCTTTTTTGTCAATGTGCATTATTAAGCACATCAACGATATACCTTGTTCTAGTAAGCTGCATAAAAGATGTATGCATGATGCAAAGAAACTGACAAGCACTTTTTCAAATACAGTGGAATGGGAGTTCAAATGTATAGACAGGCTGAACAGCAGATTTACATGTAACATGATGAAGATGTTTTAAGTTATGCAAAACAAAACAAAATAACAGGCTAAGGTTATAAGGTCAACAGTTGTTTTGATTTAATTAAGGGGGGAAAGGACACCAAAGCAATAAATATGTCCAAATAGGGAATAAGTGTGTAAAGGCGTATTTTCTAATTGTTGGAAGTAAACTGAACTTCCATTCCAGTGTATTTGAAAAAGTGTGCCTTGCACACAAAAGCTCATACCTTGAATAAACCTTTGTTGGTCTTAAAGGTGCCACTGGACTCCAAATTTGTTCTACTGCTTCAGACCAACACGACTGACCACGTGGAACAATCTTAATGTAATAATGTAATATCGAATGTACCACTAGATGTAATGTCGAATCGACCACTAGAGAGAGCAAAGTACATGCGGAACAGAAACCCCCCCTCAAAGCACACACGTGCAAGGGAAATCAGGATGCAGGAAAGCCAATTGACTCCACAACTGCAAAAAGACAAAAGGAGGGCAGACGCACGGAAGAACTGTGCCCAAACAGAGCCGAGTGCTTGTGGATCGGCTGCCGACAAAACCAGCAGTGAGCCGAGCGTGCATTAAAATCCCACCAGGACAGGCACAGATTTTCAACTTGCTCATGAAGGGTGTGGTTCTCACCTAAAGAGCTCTGGGGACTGTGTGCCCTGCTGGCACTGAAGGGAACAAGGATGCGAAACATCAAGCCCTGCGATTAGCACACAGTATGATGGAACTTCTGGGTGTGCTGGGGGTGGTGTAGAAACTAGGAAGCTGGCTGTGATAGACTGCGAGTGGAAGATTCTGAAGCATCCGCTGTTCTCATCACTGGAGCCCAACCTCCACTTGCTACATCACCCCCACCCCCCAATCCAGAGCTGGCGAATGCAGTTTCCGGGCCTGGCCTCCGTCCCAACCTCCTGTGCCCTTGCGCTTGGCCCTGCTGCTTCCAATGAAAACTTTGCAAAAATGCAGCCCTCCTTTTAGAAACATCAACTCTGAAAATGTCAACATCTGAAATTTCATGTCTGGGTTTTAAATTTGGGGTGGGTAGATACCTAAAGAGTTCTGAGGACCGTGTGCCTTGCTGGCACTGAAGGGAACAGGGATGCGAAACATCGAGCCCTGCGATTAGCACACAGTATGATGGAACTTCTGGGTGTGCTGGGGGTGGTGTAGAAACTAGGAAGCTGGCTGTGATAGACAGCGAGTGGAAGATTCTGAAGCATCCACCGTTCTCATAACTGGAGCCCAACCTCCGCTTGCTACATCACCCCCGCCCCCCCCAATCCGGAGCTGGCGAGTGCAGTTTCCGGGCCTGGCTTCCGCCCCAGCCTCCTGTGCCCTTGCGCTTGGCCCTGCTGCTCCCAATGAAAACTCTGCAAAAATGCAGCCCTCCTTTTAGACACGTCAACTCTGAAAATGTCAACATCTGAAATTTCATGTCTGGGTTTTAAATTTGGGGTGGGTAGATAGAAATTAATGGGGCTGCGGCGGCTCAGAGGTTAAGACGCTGAGCTGCAGACCAAGAAGGTCTTTAGTTCGGCAGTTCGAGACCCGGGTGCCGCACGACGGAGTGAGCTCCCGTCTCTGGCCCCAGCTCCTGCCAACCTAGCAGGTCGAAAGCAAGACATTGCAAGTAGATAAATAGGTACAGCTTCGGTGGGAAGGTAACAGCATTCCGTGCGCCTCAGCATCTAATCATGCTGGCCACATGACCGCAGAGAAGTCTTCGGACAGCGCTGGCTCTTCAGCTTGGAAACGGAGATGAGCACTGCCCCTAGAGTCAGATTTGACTGGCTATCGAGCAAGAGAAACCTTTACCTTTATATAGATATTATTTTTTAAAGCCTCGTGGGGCATCAGGAAGAGGCCTCGGGCCCCCAACTCTCAAGCTCAGCGGGGGCGCCCTGAGCGGGCTGCCCCCCGGCATTTGAAACGGTTTGTTATCATCTGAACGGAGGTTCTCACAAGTCCAGATTTGCCTTGTTCCAGTTGATGGACCTGATTTTAATCGTCTTAAGTTCCCACATCCAACACCCTTTGTGTTTCTTTAATGCCCTGAACCCCAAGAGCTGCGACATCCCCAGCACCGACCTGGCTTGTATCCCGTATCTGGTTGTGGCTGCCGGCACAGATCATTCCGTCGTTGAGCTCCGGGTAAAACCGCATGCATTTCTTGCGGCTGACAATGGTGATGTTGGTCTCAAAGAGTTTTTCGGTGAGCTGGTCTCGATCGATCAGACCCCACCCCGACATGCTGCACGGCACCCCTGCGGGGAGATCGCTGCTGGACCTTGGCAAGGGCACTGTCTGGACGTATTTGTTCAGGGTGGCTTTGGACGTCAGCTGGGAAGAGAAGCGGGAAAGCGTCATGGTCCCCTGCTCCTTGTGAAGCCCACAAGGGATCTGGAAACTCACGAGGAAGTGTGGATTTGGGTAGGGCCCAAGTCTGATTTTTAGAAAGCAGGTTTTTAGTCCTCCTGGCAGGGGAAACAGAGAAAGTGTGTCTGCCCTGAAGCATTATGGGTGTATGGCTCTTTTTGTAGCAGGAACTCCTTTGCATATTAGGCCACACACTCCTAATGTAGCCAATCCTCCAAGAGCTTACAGAGCTCTTCTTACAGGGACTACTGTAAGCTCTTGGAGGATTGGCTACGTTAGGGGTGTGTCGCTTAATATGCAAAGGAGTACCTTCTACAAAAAGAGCCCCCTCCCTTTCTGGGACGCGGACTTGTTTCATTTAAAATACATATGCCCTGTCTTTCCCCTTCAAAAGAAGCACCCCGCTTCCGATCTCTCTTTCTTCTCTCTGAAAACCAGGCTGTAATGATTATCGACTTCCGAAATGTTTATTAACAACTCCGTGTTTTTGTAAGTTGAGTGTATATTTGGTTCTATTCCTAAAGTTGGAGTCCAAGGGTTAAGAAACAAAGAGAGAGAGAAAGGTGTGTGCTGATTGGTTGTGCAAAGAGAGAGAGAGAATGCTGATTGGATGAAGAAGGAAAGAAAAGGTGGGTTTGTGAGGCTGCTGAGGAGACAGTTTGAGTGAGATCTGGGGAAAGGGGGAGTGAGAGAAAGGTTCTGGGGAGAAAGTCTGAGGATGTTGTTAGTCTGGTAGAAAAATATACAGCAAGTGAGAGTTCCTGTGTGGAACATAGTAGAGTGTTTATAGCTTCCTTGAAACAGCAAGAGTCCAGTAGCACCTTCAAGACTAACAGAATTTGTGGCAGTGGACGAGCTTTCATGAGTCACTGCTCACTTCTTCAGATACAGGTAGAATGTGAGTCGATCTGTCCTTCTATCTCGGTTTCGGATTCCGAATGACAATAGCAGGTGAATGACAATATCAGGCATGATTGGATTACGTGTGATATGCAGAGGGGTAGTAGGTGTGGAGAAATCAGCATTGGTAATGAGACAGGAAACCTAGGTCTTGATTCAGTCCAGGAAGATGCATTGTCTTGAGCTTCATTATCCGTTGCAATTCAGCAGGCTCTCTTTCTAATCTCCCTCTGAAATTCCTTTGTTAGAGATCTGCTATTCTTAGGTCAGCAAATGAATGTCCTGGAAGATTAAAAGGTTCCCCCACCACGCCACCAGTGCTCCCTCTAAACTGTGTAGTCTTGTGAGCAAAAATTCTACTTTGTGAGCTACTGGCTTAAAGTTGTGAGCAAGTGATTTGGCTACTACATAAATCAGTTTGCTCTGGAGCCATTCTTCCTGAGCTAAAACAAAAATGTGTGAGCTGGAGACTAAAAAACTGTGAGCTAGCTCACACTAACTCAGCTTAGAGGGAACACTGTCCCCCACTGGTATTTGGAGGTTGTGGTTTCTAATGTCAGACTTACGTCCATTTATTCTTTGTCATGGGGACTGGCTATCTTGACATAGCTCCTTGAGTGTGTGGGGCTCCTACAAGGGCCCAAAGACAGACTCCTAGTAGGCTGTGTGAACTGTGGCATGAGGGTGCGTGTGAAGGGAAAGTAAAATTCTGAGTGGCTTGGTAATTTACCTCTCACCTGAGCATGTTATAATTGACATATTTGGCAACAACCTTAACTGGAACTTTAGAACTTTAGAACTTTAAGGTTCTCATGTTTTGAAAAACAAAATGAGGACATATTTCCTGACTGACTACTTCAAACGAGTGATCACTATGGCCGA